AATTGTCAATCACCTAGAACGTCACATGGTCCTATCTCCCAGGCAGTTTGGCTTCCGCCGTGGGCTTGGAACTGCCGACCTCTTCACTGCCTTCCATCATGAGAGGTCCGGCATAGTGGGTCGCAATGGAATCGCTCGGCTTGTTGCAGTCGACATAGCTGGTGCTTTCGATAAATTTTCGCACACTAGTACAATGCATAAAGCTGAAAAGTCCGGCATTGGCGGGTCAATTCTGTCTTGGCTTCGCTCCTACCTTCAGGGAAGGAAGATAAGGGCTGTTGTTGGTGGGTCAAACCTCCTCGCACTTCCCAATCCAAACCGGTGTGCCGCAAGCAGCATCTTAGGACCAACGCTCTTCCTTATATAATGTCAACGACATCTCTCATTGTGTCTCCCCTGACTGCCAGCTAGCGTCGTATGCAGACGACACAACACTGTACTGCCTGATCCGTGCAGATGACGTATCTCCCGCCACTTTTAACTCACTGCAAGACTCCCTCGATGAGCCCCAAGCTTGGAGATCGAGATGGAAGGTCCAGTTTGAGCCGACAACGTGCCAGGGAATGTCGATGAGCAGACGATCAACACCCCTCCCACCCTCTTCTTTCAGCTTCGATGGTACCGTGATCAGAGAGGAAACCGATGTTTTAAGCTTCTCGGTGTGACCTTCGACCGCAAACTGCTGTTCCGCAGCCATCTCCACCAGGTTGCAGTCAGAGCCAGCCAGCGCATTGGCTTCTTCAGGATTGGGTCCAGCGGATTCTTTCGGCAGAAAAATTGGCAGAATTCGGTACTTTTCTGGTAAGTTTCATGCATGTTTGGTATGTGGATAAAGAAGTTGAGCAGAATTCGAGGAATTGCCCGCCATAAGGTTTGTATGGTTCTGTCAATTTCACTGCTTTTCGAGCAGAATATGCCACCTTTTCTAGCAGAATACGCCGATCCCTACTTCAGGAAGGTGTGCCCAGTACTCGACCGCAACGGCCGCCTCCGCCCAACCATGGAATATGCTCCCCTAGTCTGGTAAAAGCGCAGCCCGGTCCAACCTCGCGAAGCTTGACCGCATCCAGCAACGGTGCATGCGCAGCATTGGCGCTGGTACCATGCTCCCAAGCTTATCAGTGCGTCGGCAAGTCTCGGGACTGTGCTACCTGTTCAAGCTGCACTACATTTCCTGTCCAGCCCAGCTGACAGACATGCTGCCACCTGCTGCCCCTGAGCCCGCCCGATCCAGAACCCGCCACCAACATCAAGTGAAACACTCCCATACCTTCCAGTTGTCAAACCCCCTCCCCGCAACAAGTCCTGACATCCTACACCGATCCTTCCCGTTCGACCTACTAACAACATGGAATGCTCTACCCTCTGCCATCCTGAACGCTCCCCATCCAAGGCAGCGCTGCAATGCTTCAAAGTAGCAGTGAAAAAGTACCTCCTTGAGCAAACTTGTGGGAATGCTGTCGACGTGTACACCACAGACTATCATACTACCTGATGGCCTAGCTCATTCTTCTTTCTTTCTTTTTTAACCCCCCTGGTGCGCATTGTGTGCAAGGATACCGAGACCTTTGGTCGGAGGAGTTCACAACGCCCCACCTACACAACGCCCCACCTACACAACGCCCCACCTACACACCTACACACCTACACACCTACACACCAACACACCTACACACCTACACACCTACACACCAACACACCTACACACCTACACACCTACACACCTACACACCTACACGCCTACACGCCTACACGCCTACACGCCTACACGCCTACACGCCTACACGCCTACACGCCTACACGCCTACACGCCTACACGCCTACACGCCTACACGCCTACACGCCTACACGCCTACACGCCTACACGCCTACACACCTACACACCTACACACCTACACACCTACACACCTACACGCCTACACGCCTACACGCCTACCTGCACACCTACACACCTACACACCTACACGCCTACACGCCTACACGCCTACACGCCTACACACCTACACACCTACACACCTACACACCTACACACCTACACACCTACACACCTACACACCTACACACCTACACACCTACACACCTACACACCTACACACCTACACACCTACACACCTACACACCTACACACCTACACACCTACACACCTACACACCTACACACCTACACACCTACACACCTACACACCTACACACCTATACAGCTGCGCTAGTGGATACTAGTAATCTCTGCATGCAACTATGTTATCTTCCTTGTTATTATTTTTTGTCTCGAGCCGGGTTTGTGTTCTTTGTAAAAAAAAGAAGAAGAAAAAGAAAGGCGGTTGCCAAATCTTTTTCATCGCTATCTTACCACCACTCTCGGCTTGGGCACGGGAGTTTTGTCAAAGTCGGGGTACAGCACTTCACAGTTGACCCCTTCACCTGGGTTCTCAGCTTGAGAAAGGATGACGTCCGCACACTGTACGCTCCCATAGAAACAAGACGCCAGGAGCATTACACCCTGTACACGGCAGAGGAGAAATGCGCACAGTAAAACCTGCCAATGTGACCAGTCTTTCTAAGGCGACCACCTGTCCAACAGGACCACTGCAACCCAGGGGATGTAATTTCCAGCCCAAGTAATGACCCTGGATCAGGAGTCTACCTGCTCACTGGGACTCCGCCACATCGTGTGATGGTCCCTTGAGAAGTTGGCTTAGACAGGTTCCAATGCAGTGACAGTACATGTTCAGTGATCACCCCATGGGTCAAAGAAAGTTAGTCCAACAGCTAACTGTTTCTTTCAAAGAGATTATAGTCTGTTTGTTCGTTTTTTTGTTTGTATACTTTATTTGAATTCGCCAATCCAAACGAGCACAAATGCTTAGTGACAAGGCAGCGGATTATAGTCTCACATGACAGCGGTCGCAACAATGGCAGTTCTTCTTATCCATATTTTGTATCCAGTGCAAGCATAATGATTCATCAAATGTGCTGATGTGGTACAACCTACAATACCATAAGTCAACAAATATTCGGCGCATACATGTATTTTTGGCAATTTTCGGCCTGGTCATGTTTGGCCGAAATTTTGTTTTCATGTTCAGTGTGACAGCGTGTACAGGCGGCAGCAGTACAGGACAAAGATTTGATGCGGCCAAAATGGGTTTTAGCCCTGGGAGGCCAAAATGGGTTTTAGCCCTGGAGAGAGGCCAAAATGTGTTTTAGCCCTGGGAGGCCAAAATGGGTTTTAACCCTGGGAGGCCAAAACGGGTTTTAGCCCTGGGAGGCCAAAATGGGTTGTAGCCCTGGGTGGCCGAAATGTGTTTTAGCCCTGGGAGACCGAAATGTGTTTTTACCCTGGGAGACCGAAATGTGTTTTAGCCCTGGGAGACCGGTAATCTGTTGACTTACAGTAGGTGACCGGCATAATCACTACAGAAGTGGTGTAAAATTCCTTATAAACATCACATTATCACTCTCGTGAGTACCCGATATATGTCTTAACCAATGGGCAGTAAAATATTGGTACATGTGTTTACTACTCCATTCACTGGTTTGAGGCAAAGACACAAACTACTTCCTGGTTATATCCTCCCCCCCCCCCCCTAGTTATTGGCATGTGAGAGATAGTCATGGAACCCCTGGCCTGGAACGCTCTCCCAAGGAGTGTAAGGGAGATCAAGGCTGCCCAGCAATTTAAGCTTGCCTCCATCCCCCCAATGAATGCTCTGTCTGACTTTTCCCGTCCACACACCACGTCATTTACTCTTCTCTGCGTGCTTGTGCGCTTATGAACTCTTTGTGTTCCCTCTGTTTACGCTTCAAAATCGCTCTATTAACACTGCAAAATCGCTCTGTTGACGCTGCAAAATTGCTTATCATCTCCCTCCCTCCCCCCCCTCTCTCTCTCTCTCTCTCTCTCTCTCTCTCTCTCTCTCTCTCTCTCTCTCTCCCCGTAGCTCTCTCCCTTTTGAAATTCGCTTCCATAGAATTGGGCACCATTGCCCGTTTGGCCTTGCGAAGTAAAATAAAAATCAACAACAACAACAACAACCACTACTAGCGCTGAACCGTATTCTCCCGCGCAAAAGTTTTATGACAAATTCCAGGTCATCGTCTGATCACAAGTCAACGTACTTGAAGTAATATTATCTGATTGGTTGTACCTACTCTACCTGTAAAATCCTATACCGTAATTCTCAGATTCTTTTTTTTTCTAACGTGAGATGCACAACAACTAGTAACTCACGATTTCATATTGTAAAAAAGAGAAGAAAACACGTGAGAACGAGTTATGCAGCAACTATCCACGACTGTAACAAGATTATAAAGAGTCAGAACGTGCGATAATAGGGCACAAAACTGACAGGCTACTGAGCCTGTGATCCGAGTTAAAATTTCATATTGTAATTTGATCATTTTCTACGTACCACTAGGCTCTCTTCCTGCTCCCAGAGTGGACCCAGACATACTGGGTAACAGCTGACCAGCCAGGACGAATTTATCTGGCCAAGCCTTGCTCAACCGATCCTTCTTCTGTTGGTTCACTTGCTACCATCCCCCGTACCGCTGTATATCCCACTGGATCATGTGCTAGCAGTTGATAAACTGCTGAAGAGCAAATTTAAATGTCTGCCCCCCCCCCCCTGATACAATAATAATGATAATAGTTACCGTTTGCATGTCGCTCATGGAAGAATCCATGGGCTTAACGCATCTGTCAATGAAATCCAGGCAAAAGAGCCAACAAAAGGCATCCCAATAATTGTTATGGTGTATTGTACACTGTCTAAATCACACGTACAGATACTTTCATTTGAGCGGACAAGAAGTGTGACGGGAGCATCCAGTAGTCGGAGCGAACGAGTTGAGAAAGTGCGGCATGGTCAGTGACTTTCAGTCGCTCCTGCAGGCCTGTGTAGTCATTGATCTCGCACATACGAATGAGATCGGCACACGGCGCATCTCCACTAGAGTAGTAATGAGCAGCATCCACCGCAGCTTCTGTTTCGTCAGGTGATGACATTTCCTGAAGAAGAAGAAGAAGAAGAAGAAGAAGAAGAAGAAGAAGAAGAAGAAGAAGAAGAAGAAGAAGAAGAAGAAGAAGAAGAAGAAGAAGAAGAAGAAGAAGAAGAAGAAGAAGAAGAAGAAGAAGAAGAAGAAGAAGAAGAAGAAGAAGAAGAAGAAGAAGAAGAAGAAGAAGAAGAAGAAGAAGAAGAAGAAGAAGAAGAAGAAGAAGAAGAAGAAGAAGAAGAAGAAGAAGAAGAAGAAGAAGAAGAAGAAGAAGAAGAAGAAGAAGAAGAAGAAGAAGAAGAAGAAGAAGAAGAAGAAGAAGAAGAAGAAGAAGAAGAAGAAGAAGAAGAAGAAGAAGAAGAAGAAGAAGAAGGGGAAATGCTCACCATCAAATGGTGGATAAAAACCGTTTCGACTGCTTTTTAGACAGTAACGGGTAAAGAAAAAAGGAAAAAGAAACTCATATAATGCAATTCGAAGAGATAGGCCCCCAGTACAGTTGGGGTGTGGTTGTGTCCGTATGGTATGGTGTGTCATGTACAGGTAGTTGCGTTGTGATGTATGGTAATTTGTAGGGCGAATGTCGAGAAGGCTATGAAAATAACGATTCGACAAGAACAAGTGACTACGAGAGATTGGCAAGGTTGGCGATCGTCCACCCCCGGCCCTTTAGAGGCCGGAATGGCGAGTTCAAATCTTGATTTTAAGGACGCCCAACTATCCTCGCTGGGTGGCCGATCGCCCACCAAGTGCTCTACAACAGGTTCACCAAACAGTTTTAATACAACGGCCAGTCGCGCCATGTTCGCTCCCTTCGCCTTAGCCATAGGACATAGCTTGAGTTCAGCGCTGCTTGGCGACAATTCCTCCGCAAGAACCTGCGCTGTTCCTTAGTGCAGCGCAAGGATCTCGCGAAGGAATCCAAGCTGGTGGATATGGCGCCTCTCGCTCCCACCTCTGCTGTGTGACTTTCCGTATCCCAGCCATTCCTTACACACGCGCTATGAAGGTGACGATAGCGTTCGATTTTGATCTCGCGCGATTGTGCAAAGCGATCTTCACTACATACCGTGAGTTCCAGCCACAGAACTCTTCTCAATTCTTTGGAGAAGAGCACTATGTCTGGACGACAGGTTGTAGGTGCTATGAAGTGGGGGAAAACAAGTTTCTCATCCTTCATGTCCACCAGGACCTGCCAGTCTGCTGAGCTAGTTACGAATTGGTCATTTAGCCGTTTGCGTTGGGAGGGGGGCTGTTTGGGGAGATTCTCTCCTGCCTTGCAGAAAGTTATGTAATCAATTATCTTCTGTTTACTCTGCGTTTCTGCTGGTGCCGTGGCCTTTTGATAAGTTTGGATGGTTTCGTTTACTAGTTTTACTATGCATTTCAGTACGTTGTCGTGGCGCCAGGTATATCTGCCCTGGTGGAGGGCTGTTGGACATGCTGATAATATGTGACGGAAAGGGAAATGCTCACCATCAAATGGTGGATAAAAACCGTTTCGACTGCTTTTTAGACAGTAACGGGTAAAGAAAAAAGGAAAAAGAAATTCATATAATGCAATTCGAAGAGATAGGCCCCCAGTACAGTTGGGGTGTGGTTGAAGAAGAAGAAGAAGAAGAAGAAGAAGAAGAAGAAGAAGAAGAAGAAGAAGAAGAAGAAGAAGAAGAAGAAGAAGAAGAAGAAGAAGAAGAAGAAGAAGAAGAAGAAGAAGTGAAATGCTCACCATCAAATGGTGGATAAAAACCGTTTCGACTGCTTTTTAGACAGTAACGGGTAAAGAAAAAAGGAAAAAGAAACTCATATAATGCAAGAAGAAGAAGAAGAAGAAGAAGAAGAAGAAGAAGAAGAAGAAGAAGAAGAAGAAACAAGAACCAATGAACACAAGCACTGAGAAACACTCAAAAGAATATTTTAAAAACAGTCCTCATTTTCAACTCCATCAACAGTGATTATGAAAACAGTTAAAACCTAGAAAAAGAGCAAGCTTCAGGTTCAACATTTCGAACCTGAAGTTTGAAAGTATACTTTGAAGCCTACTACTCAGATGAAATACTGCCAAATGCAAAGGAGAAAGGACAATGGATAAGGAAGTAGAGTAGAGTCTGAGAGGCGATGAAACAGCGCAAAGAAGAAAACCGGTAGATAAAAACAGCAAACGAAAAATGCGTGACCCGTACACCCAGACAGAATGGCACAAAAAGGTTACAGTGTGAGAACGCCTAGCAAGGGTGAAACATAGTTCGACATCAATAGGTAATAGACATGTAACTAACGAGTTGTTGACGATCAACCTAACAGCCTAAATGTGACTACATGCAAAGTACTGAAAGACACCACGGCCATCACCTACTACAAAGTACCAGTGCATTGTAAATCCACGCCATTCACAAAGTACCATCATTTCGCTCAGCCTGTAGCCATTATCTGGTTCCAGGCATATGCGGATAATGCCGGCAGAAATAATTGGCAGAATTCGGTACTTTTTCTGGTAAGTTTCATGCATGTTTGGTATGTGGACAAAGAAATGGAGCAGAATTCGAGGAATTGCCCACCATAAGGTTTGTATGGTTCTGCCAATTTCACTGCTTTTCGAGCAGAGTCTGCCACCTTTTCGAGCATTATCCGCACACCCCTACTGGTAGCTGAAACATTGACAGTGTGACACTTACAACACGGGCAGGTTACTGACTGTCGTAAATGTTTTGTACATGTATTGCCATCCTACCCCCCCCCCTTATGGGGAGGGGGTGGGAGGAGGAGGGGAGAACCAGGTGAGAAGTCTTGAGCATACCTGCCAAGTATCCTAAGTTTTCGGTATTATCCCGGATTTTCGGATGTACTCCCGACATCCCGAAATTCTGGTCGATTATCCCAACAAGTCACTGTACAAGAAACACATCTTGATGTTGTTCCTGGAGCACTTCCCTAGTTGTCTTTGTTGATTCTCTGTACCGCCATAGCTGTAGTATAGGAAGGGTTACTGGTACCCTTTCCACGAACAGTCCCTGAAAGAATTCGCTTTTGACTCTTTCGATGGTATACCATGCGTGAAATCATGGTGGAAATGCAACGTACATTAATATCAAGTCATGTCACAAAATACCGATACATGTATTACAGGTATCATTATTAAAAAATTGAAAAAAGGAATTATGGGGGGAAAGGATGACATCCCGAAAAGTGCGAAAACCGAGGAAAATCCAGGGATTTTGCCCTGACGATCCAGAAAAAGCACACTCAGTACTTGGCAGGTATGCTTGGGGTTTTAGTGAGTCAATCTTTTTAAACTGCACCTCTTTCCAAGATGTGAAAGAAACTGTAAGAACCATTTCCATTCGGAAATTGAGCTGGTTTGGGTTTGTACTTTGTAATAGGTTTTGCCAGTCAAATCTCTTCCCACCGAATCAGTCAAACTACCCGGATCAGCCTGTAGACTTCTGACTGGGTTCGCCTCTTCCCGGAAGCGAGCAGCATGGGGATTTGTGCAGCTAGCTCACTGTAGATCTGCATGCTGCAAAGGAGCGTCTGCCAGCTGCTGGGTCAGTGGCGTGAATCCCTGTGCCTAAACTTTACTACTGAGCTAAACTGCTCAGGTTTGTAGCAGGCACACTATCAGTGTTTCAGTTACCTGATCATGGCTGGAAACTAGTGTGGCCAAGCCATTATGCTTCATAATAATAATCTTATAATAATCTTTATTTCAGGATTACCCAAAGGCTAACGCCTATCTGGGGATCTCCTATTTGTGTATGTACTAGTAACATAGTTATGGATGCGAGAGAAAGTGCGCAGAGTGAGTGTGAAATTTTGGTTTTAAAAAGGAATAATAAGAAACACAAGGAGAGAAAGTAAGACAGAAAACATGTCATCATGTATTGTACATTTACTTGTAAACGACAGTGGTTTGGACTTGCTAGGTACTTTGCAATGGGTGTTCCAGCCCTACAGTAGTACAGATTCCTACAGGGTTTCTAACATACACGTATGCAAAGGAAAGGGGAATTTGAAAATGCACGCTGTCGGTATTACAGCACGTCTAGATGACTGTATAATACGCTGAGGTAGACATCAAGTGTCATAATTATGTATAATGTCCTTTTCGTATCTCAGTACTAGTCTAGGGCCTCCAAGAGTCACACATGCCGATATGTAGGCAGATTGCTAGTAATCTATAATTGAATTACCGGTATACGGCTCTCACCAGGGGTGGCTACCAGCCTTTGGGGTACACCAAGGCAGAACCGTCTTTGAAAGCGGTGATGACGGACCGGAGGCGGCACATCAAGCAAGGCACGCTCGTCACGGATCTGTAGAAGGCAAGAAACCAGCAAAATATCTATTTATCTGACTTCCATTCCTCCCTGGCATCTCTACTCAAGCGCGACTCTGGACGCACAAACACATCGCTCTTTTTCTGGCACGATAACGACTTACGTCTTCTTTGCAAAATATTGCCGTAAGTTAAAACTCCGCTATTATCCGGCGGCCTTAAACACCTCCACGAACACATTATCACAGTAACAGTGGTGGAAAGTACAATAAGGTCTATTCTATTAATTCAACATCTCCTGGCTCGTCAGAAAACTGCCAATATATATGAGAAGTCGGGTGGAAGCCAGCCAAAAAAATAATACGTACCTACATCTACATCTAGATTTTACTACTCTAGCTATTACCAGTACCGAGACAGAGCCGAGATACTAGTAGTAGTAGTAGTAGGCCGCCTAAAACTGGATCCTTCGGGACTGGACGGGAAAAGCGATCTCTAGACCCCTAGGCCCCAGTTCGCGCTGATCGGAAGACGCGGTGTCGATGAGAAACACAACCAGGCGATCCGCGAGGTCGCAAGCATGCTTTGTAGTAGATGTATGTATGTATGTATATTTTTATTTGAATTCGCAAGTACACACGGGCTACAAGCCCAATTACATGGAAGCGAATGCCATAATGAGGCCAATTAAGAAAAAAAGGTGGAGGAAGGAGGAGGACGGTAGCAAAGCAACAGGGAGGACAATTCAGGACCAAAATCAACAATTGCACAAATGTGAGAGCACCTGAGACCGAGGGTACCTGTGGAGCGATAAAATGCCAAGCAAACAGAAGAAAGGAAATCGCAAGCCAATACACGCTAAACTGCACTTGAGTTAGAATGAAGGGGAAAACCGGAGCTCAACAAAATTATAACGTACAAAGTCATAATAAGAAGTCAACTGGATGAGAAGTAGCACAAGCAAACATTTCCTGACAACGAGAGGGGCTGTAACTACAGCCACAGCAGTAGCTGCTGTAGCAGCAGCAGCAGCAGCAGCAACAACAACAACAACAACAGCAACAACAGCAACAACAACAACAACAACAACAGCAGCAGCAGCAGCGCCGTGCAGACTACTCCAAGGGGAGTATGGGACTGTGAACACAACAACAACAACAACAACAACAACAACAACAACAACAACAACAACAACAACAACAACAACAACAGCAACAACAACAACAACAACAACAACAACAACAACAACAACAACAACAACAACAACAACAACAACAACAACAACAACAACAACAACAACAACAACAACAACAACAACAACAACAACAACAACAACAACAACAGCAGCAGCAGCAGCGCCGTGCAGACTACTCCAAGGGGAGTATGGGACTGTGAACACAGAAGGCGGGAGAATTCACGGAGTTTGCAGATCTAGCCCGCCAGCGTGAAGGGCAGTGCAGCTACGGCGAATTCACTGGGACGATTGAGTAGGCGAACTTATCTGGGGAGGGTGTTCCAGAGGATGGCACCACAGTGCGATGGACGGGATGTCCCTGCTGCTGACCGGGCTAGCGGCAGGCGCAAACCCTGTCCTTGCTGGAGGCGGGTGGTGTTTCCATGAGCACTTCGAAACTTGTCCTGGAGGGCTGGGCTGGCTCGATTGTGCTGGCAACGCCACACAAACCTCAGCATCTTCTGCTTGTGCAGCTCCTGAATGCTGTAGAGCTGCAAGCTGGTCAGGAGGGGTTGAGCATGAGAGCGGGGTGGCTGGCCAAACACTGCCCTGGCAGCTCGGTTCTGGAGAACTTGCAAGCGAGAGACTTGCTCCTGTCGCAGGCAGGCGAAAAATGCTGTCGACCCGTACAGCAGATCAGGCATGATGATGGACTTCATGAACTGTGTACGGGCCTTCAGACTTAATGCTCGCCTAGATCGCCAGAGCGCCCCGATCTTCTGCGATACTTTCTTGGCGATGCTGTCCACGTGTTTCTGCCAGTTGAGGGAGCTGTCCAGCAGAACTCCGAGGTACTTCGCAGTGCTTGCAGCTGGCAAACTAGTCCCATTGCAATTTACAGGAATGGCTTCACTGTGCATGCTCAGGACTTGGCTCTTCGTGGAGTTCAGGATGAGGTTGCGATCCTCTAGCCAGTCAGCCACTGCAGACACTGCCCGGGTAAGCGCCGCTGAGCATTCAGTAGGCAGCCGGTGGCTGAAGTACAAGCCAATATCATCCGCAAACTGTACTGTGGGCACGTCACCAGCAACCTCTGGTATGCCGCGCGTGTATACACTGAACAAGATTGGTCCTAAAACGGATCCCTGTGGAACACCGCATGTGCATGCATTACAGGGTCCGTCCTGGGTTCCAATGCGCACTTGCTGGGTTCGATGGCTGAGATAGTTGGCAAACCAACTTAATGCCGTTCCAGAAACGCCAATGTCGAACAAGTCCTGCAGCAGCGTAGGGTGACTGACTTTGTCAAACGCCTTTGACATGTCAAGTAGGCAGATGCAGCAAGGCAATGCAGAGTCCTTTGCAGTGAGAACACCATCCGTTAGTAGCACAAGTGCATCTTCAGTGGAGTGATCCTTCCTGAAGGCAAATTGGGTCGGTGGTAGAA